TCTTTCCTTGTTGCTATCCACTAGTTTGTGTGTAACTTTGTATGAATATTCCCAGTGAAGTCAGTGGATCTCTTTAACCTCTTGTGTAGTAGTAATCTGAAATAATCGCATCAGCAGTACTACCAGTGTGACAAATATGCAGTAGAATAAATGGCTGACTGAATTGCCCAGAATATATGTGCATTCATATAAATTCAGATAGAAAAAGATCTACTAAAATTTTGGAGTAAACCCCCAAATTACTAAAATGGTGTATCTCTAGATATCTTCAAGCTAAAGACAGATACCTTTATAAAAATTTTGAGAAAATTTTTATGCTTTAGTTGGCTCAGTTACTTGTATCTCTGAGACTTTGAATTATTGCAGACCAGAATAAGGAACTGAAACTTGGCTTAGAGGAAAGAGACAAATTATGTGATTGCAGAGCCTATGAAAGTGTGTTTCCAGCGCTGACTACAAAACCCAAAGGAAGTGGTTGACTTTTGTCAGTGAAATAGTAAATTGTGTTTGCGAAGCTGCATTTAGGAAGCTGAATAGGATTTCTTTTGATATCACACACCTTTGTAGTCTCCTGCCAAGTTTACAGCCTGGGAATGGAGTTATTCTGAAAACTTGCATGATTTCTAGACCACTAACGAAACATCTAGAGAGAGAGATTTGGCTAAGATGATGTAGGTTTAAAGGCAAAAGTACTTTGTTTAACTGAGTGTAAACTTCATTGCTCTAGGCAGTGCTTCTTTCTGGAAAGGAGCAAACAAGCAAATACCCAATGTTATACTTTTTTGGGCATTTCTTTCAATAGCAGTGATGGCTTAAATGAGTTCTTTCCTTTTCTATACTAATTTCTACTCTATACCATCTTTCCACTTCAGCTGATAGAATTGTTTTAGCATTTGTTGGGACAAGGTCTAAGATTTGATCTAGACTAAAAATCATTTATAAACCATAAAATGGAAAAAATGGTGGAATATATTGCAGTGATTGAGCCTGAGCATGGATGTCACATAATTGCAAAATCAAGAGTGCAATATTTGCTTTTTTAAAAAGTTTGGGGTTGTCTCAAGACCTTAAGAACTTGACTTTGCTCTCCTATGTAGGTTTACTGGAAACTGATTTATAATCAAAGTGTCTTTACTGATGATACCATAAGCGCTGCATTGAGATTTTTTTTTACTTCTTGCATTTTCTTTTTATCTTATAATGAAATTAAAATTGCAGTTTTGATGATACAATAGAGAGGATTTCAATGTCTACTTTTTACTTTCAGAGTCCTTTCATCTCTGAATTAAGTGCTGAGGTTACCTTAAATGAAGCTCAGGAAGAATCACATCCCTCCCACAATGTGTTTCATGAAAACAGCGGGCTGTGAATAAAGACATAGACCTAGCCAGCCTACACAGGGAGGACATAGCTTAAATTCTACCTGTCTCTACAGACTTACTCAGCTGTGCTATCCTGATCCCCATGCACTTCTCCTACCTAACCAAGGTCAACCTCCTGCATCTCTTCCATCACCTCTCCCTTCCCATAGCAGGTTAGGTAGGAGTGACCTAAGGCCTTCAATGTATAAGCTTTGGACCTGGATGCTGTATTTCCACTTCCATTTTAGTTATATTAGTCCCTTTCTGGACTGAAGTAACTGTGATATATGTCTAAACAAGCTTTATTTAACTGGGTACTATTTAACTAGTTTATTTAACTGGCTTCTGTTTACAGGCTTTCCATAACATGTTGAAATTTCCTGTTTGCCAGTACTGTGGGGCTTTCTGTGGACAGTTCAGGCTAAGCCATTAGAATAGAGATGCATGTGAGTGTACAGAGTGCTTTTATTCCTCTGTGCATTGTTCCAAATTCATGAGATCTAAGCATCATTCAGTCTGAAAATTGAAAATGGGAAAGCAATAGATTAATAGTAATATCCACGCACTTTACTCTGTGGTTTATTATCGTTTATTTCCACCTTCAGGACATGCTTTAATTAAAGTATGTGTCAACTGTCCCTTTTCTTGCTTGTGAATAGCTAGGTATGAATCTCCGTAACTTGTCAAGTACAGAGTGATGATCTCAGCAGTTGTCACTACACCAAAAAAGGTGTTGCCTAGAAGTTGTTTTAAAAATTGTGCCGAATCTGTAGTTGCTTCTGGAGGAAAAAGAAGGGGTATCTGCTTCTAGAAAATGTTCAAATTTAAACAAAGCAAGGGAGAAGAGAGTATTTAGCAAAGGAGCCAAACTAAATTATTGCTTGATGAGCACAACTCTTAGTTCTCAGAAATTCCAAGCAAAGAAAGGTCACTGTGTTTGATTTACAACAGAAAGAAGGTTGCTGTATCTTTTAAGGAATATATTGTATCCTGAAATATATTCATTAAGTGTTGCATGTTATTGTCTTAAGTCAGAAGAGGATGGTAGAGAGTTCAGATCGTTTGGTACAATTAAGTACTTTTGGATAAAGAGAATTAAGCAGAAAATAGACTGGCCAAGAACTTTAGAAAGTAATTAGAATAGTACATTAGCATGATTTCAGTCTAGTGTCTCAG